GGTGTTTAATTTTTGAAATAATTTAGAAAAATCTAAGGGGCCCCTGGTGTTCTATTTTTAAAATAATTGAAAGAATCTTAAGGGCGTCTTGATTCTTTTTTAACTAAATACTAAAAATCTAAGCGCTACCTGTTGTTTTATGTTTAAAAGAACTTAAAAAATCAGAGGAGCGTCTGGTGTCCTTTTTTTTAATTTTAAAGAATCTCAGAAGTACTCCGTGTTTTATTTTTGAAGTAATTTAAAGAATCTCAGAAATTTGAGATATTTGGTCTTTAACATTTGAAATAATTTAAGGAATCTCAGGGGCCTTGGGTGTTTCATTTTTAAAGTCCTTAGTTTAGAAATTCTCAGGGGCGGTTTGTTGTTTTAGTTTTTAAGTAATTTAAAGATCTTCAGGATTCCTGGGTGTTCCATTTTTGAAATAATCCAAAGAATCTCAGGCTCTCTGATCTTTTACCTTTGGAATAATTTAAAGAATCTCGGGGGCTCTAGGTGTTTCATTTTTAAAATACGTAATTTAAAGATTCTTAGGGTCGGTTTGATGTTTTATTGTTGAAGTAATTTAAAGATCTTCAGAGCCTCTTGGTGTTCTATTTTTAAATAATCCAAAGAATCTCAGGCTCTCTGGCCTTTTACTTTTAGAATAATTTAAAGAATCTCCGGGGTTCTAGGTGTTTAATTTTTAAAGTACTTAATTTAGAAGATTCTCAGGGGCGGTTTGCTGTTTTATTTTTGAAGTAATTTAAAAATCCTCAGGGCCTCTTGGTGTTCTATTTTTGAAATAATCCCAAAGACTCTCGAGCTCTCTGGCCTTTTACTTTTGGAATAATTTAAAGAATCTGGGAAACTCTGGGTGTTTCATTTTTAAAGTACTTAATTTAAAGATTCTCAGAGGCGGTTTGGTGTTTTATTTTTGAAGTCATTTAAAGATTGTCAGGGTCTCTTGGTCTTCTATTTTTGAAATAATCTAAAGAATCTCAGGAAACCTTGCTATTTTATTTTTGAAAGAATATAGAAAATCCCAGGTTCTCTGACCTTTTACTTTTGGAACAAATTAAAGAATCTGGGGAGTTCTGAGTGATGTTTCATTTTTAAAATACTTATTAATTTAAAGAATCTTAGGGGAGCCTCAGTGTTCTATTTTGAAACAATTTAAAAATCTGAGGAGCTCCTTGATGTTTTATTGTTGAAAAAATTTAAAATATCTAAAGGGCATCTGGTGTTTCATTTTTTGAAAATCTTAAAGATTCTTAGGATCTTCGGGTGTTTTATTTTTGAAGTAATTTAAAGATCTTCAGGGCCCCTTGGTGTTCTATTTTTGAAATAATCTGAAGAATTTCAAAAGACCCTGCTATTTTATTTTCGAAAGAATATAGAAAATCCCAGGTTTTCTGGCGTTTTACTTTGGAGCAAATTAAATAATCTGGGGAGCTCAGGATGTTTCATTTTTAAATACTTCAATTAAAGAATCTCAATGGAGCCTCAGTGTTCTATTTTTGAAACAACTTAAAAATCTGAGGAGCTCCTTGGTGTTTTATTGTTGAAAGAAATCAAAATGTCTCCAGAGCGTCTGGTGTTTACCTTTTTAAAAGCTTTAAAGACTCTCAGAATCCCCGGATATTTTATTTTTGAAGTAATTTAAAGATCCTCAGGACCCCTTGGTGTTCTATTTTTGAAGAAATATAGGAAATCCCAAGTTTTCTGGTTTTTTACTTTAGGAACAAATTAAAGAATCTGGGGGCTCTGGGTGTTTAATTTTTAAAGTACTTAATTTAGAAGATTCTCAGGGGCGGTTTGCTGTTTTATTTTTGAAGTAATTTAAAGATCCTCAGGGCCTCTTAGTGTTCTATTTTTGAAATAAACCCAAAGAATCTCGGACTCTCTGGTCTTTTACTTTTGGAATAATTTAAAGAATCTGGGAAACTCTGGATGTTTAATTATTAAAGTACTTAATTTAAAGATTCTCAGAGGCGGTTTGGTGTTTTATTTTTGAAGTCATTTAAAGATTGTCAGGGTTTATTGGTCTTCTATTTTTGAAATAACCTAAAGAATCTCAGGAAACCTTGCTATTTTATTTTTGAAAGAATATAGAAAATCCCAGGTTCTCTGATCTTTTACTTTTGAAACAAATTAAAGAATCTGGGGAGTTCTAAGTGATGTTTCATTTTTAAAATACTTAATTTAAAGAATCTTAGGGGAGCCTCAGTGTTCTATTTTGAAACAACTTAAAAATCTGAGGAGCTCCTTGGTGTTTTATTGTTGAAAAAATTTAAAATATCTAAAGGGCATCTGGTGTTTCATTTTTTAAAAATCTTAAAGATTCTTAGGATCTTCGGGTGTTTTATTTTTGAAGTAATTTAAAGATCCTCAGGGCCCCTTGGTGTTCTATTTTTGAAATAATCTAAAGAAGTTCAAAAGACCCTGCTGTTTTATTTTCGAAAGAATATAGAAATTCTCAGGTTTTCTGGTGTTTTACTTTGGAGCAAATTAAATAATCTGGGGAGCTCAGGGTGTTTCATTTTTAAATACTTCATTTAAAGAATCTCAATGGAGCCCCAGTGTTCTATTTTTTTAAACAATTTAAAAATCTGAGGAGCTGCTTGGTGTTTTATTGTTGAAAGAAATTAAAATGTCTCCAGAGCGTCTGGTGTTTAACTTTTTAAAAGCTTTAAAGACTCTCAGAATCCCCGGATATTTTATTTTTGAAGTAATTTAAAGATCCTCAGGACCCCTTGGTGTTCTATTTTTGAAAAAATATAGGAAATCCCAAGTACACTGGTATTTTACTTTAGGAACAAATTAAAGAATCTGGGGGCTCTGGGTGTTTAATTTTTAAAGTACTTAATTTAGAAGATTCTCAGGGGCGGTTTGCTGTTTTATTTTTGAAGTAATTTAAAGATCCTCAGGGCCCCTTGGTGTTCTATTTTTGAAATAATCTAAAGAATTTTAAAAGACCCTGCTATTTTATTTTCGAACGAATATAGAAATTCTCAGGTTTTCTGGTCTTTTACTTTGGAGCAAATTAAATAATCTGGGGAGCTCAGGGTGTTTCATTTTTAAATACTTCATTTAAAGAATCTCAATGGAGCCTCAGTGTTCTATTTTTGAAACAACTTAAAAATCTGAGGAGCTTCTTGGTGTTTTATTGTTGAAAGAAATGAAAATGTCTTCAGAGCGTCTGGTGTTTAACTTTTTAAAAGCTTTAAAGACTCTCAGAATCCCCGGATATTTTATTTTTGAAGTAATTTAAAAATCCTCAGGACCCCTTGGTGTTCTATTTTTGAAAAAATATAGGAAATCCCAAGTACACTGGTTTTTTACTTTAGGAACAAATTAAAGAATCTGGGGGCTCTGGGTGTCTAATTTTTAAAGTAGTTAATTTAGAAGATTCTCAGGGGCGGTTTGCCGTTTTATTTTTGAAGTAATTTAAAGATCCTCAGGGCCTCTTAGTGTTCTATTTTTGAAATAATCTCAAAGAATCTCGGGCTCTCTGGCCTTTTACTTTTGTAATAATTTAAAGAATCTGGGAAACTCTGGGTGTTTAATTTTTAAAGTACTTAATTTAAAGATTCTCAGGGGCGGTTTGCTGTTTTGTTTTTGAAATAATTTAAAGATCCTCAGGGTCTCTTCGTGTTCTATTTTTGAAATAATCCAAAAAATTCTCGGGCTCTCTGGTCTTTTACTTTTGGAATAATTTAAACAATCTAGGAAACTCTGGGTGTTTAATTTTTAAAGTACTTAATTTAAAGATCCTCAGAGGCGGTTTGGTGTTTTAATTTTGAAGTCATTTAAAGATTGTCAGGGTTTCTTGGTCTTCTATTTTTGAAATAATCTAAAGAATCTCAGGAAACCTTGCTATTTTATTTTTGAAAGAATATAGAAAATCCCAGGTTCTGTGGTCTTTTACTTTTGGAACAAATTAAAGAATCTGGGGAGTTCTGAGTGATGTTTCATTTTTAAAATACTTAATTTAAAGAATCTGAGGAGAGCGTCAGTGTTCTATTTTTGAAACTACTTAAAAATCTGAGAGGCTACCTGGGGTTTTATGGTTAAAAAAAAATATCTAAAGGGCGTCTGGTGTTTCATTTTTTAAAAAGCTTGAAAGACTCTCAGGCTTTCCGGGTATTTTATTTTTGAAGTAATTTAAAGATTTTCATGACCTATTATTGTTTTATTTTTGAAAGAAAATAAAGGATTTCAAGCTCTCTGGCTTTTTCCTTTTGAAATAATTTAAAGAATCTCTGGGACTCTGAGTGTTTCATTTTTAAAATATTTAATTTAAAGGTCAGACTTAAAATGTCTCAACGGGTCTCATGGTTAATTTTTGAAGTAACTTAAAGATCCTCACGCCCCTTGGTATTCTATTTTTGAAATAAACTAATGAATATTAAAAGACCGCTTTAAAAATATAAAGAATCTCGGGCTCTTTGGTCTTTTACTTTTGAAAAAACTGGGGGTTCTTAGGTGTTTTATGTTTGAAAGAACTTAAAAAATCTCAAGAACGTTAATTTTTTTTAAAGACTCTCAGGGCCCCTTGGTGTTTTATTTTTTGAAATAGTCTAAAGACTCTTAGAGGATCTTGCTGTTTTATTTTGAAAAAATATAAGGAATTTCGGGCTTTTTGGTCTTTTGCATTTGGAATTATTTAAAAAATCTCAAGGGTCTAGGTGTTCCATTTTTAAAATACTTAATTTAAAACTTATATATTTTGTTTTCGAAAAAATTTGAAAGGAAATTAGGGACACTCGATAATGTTTTTGAGAGAATTTGAATAAATAATAAATTTGATTTAGTGAGTAATGTTATTATTACACTAATAAAATTATCCAAATTAACTAATAATATCACTACAAAATTGTATTAATTATCACTGACCAAAGCCATCACAAATTATTCATTATCAGAATTTTCCCCTCCACTCTCAACGCTGGTAATTCGCCCATCGAAAATCGCTCCACAACCCATTCCGCCACTGCAAACCCATCTCCAACCCATGCCTCAGCACTCACTTACATTTCGGCGGTCGTGATACCATCATTATCGCGAACGCACGGAATTGAGTTATATTAATTCCGGCGGTGGTGGGGGCCAGAATCCCGAACAATATGGACCAACAACTTCCCCAGTTCCCCCAGTCGGGCGTCGTTTTCGTTCCCATTCCCGCGCAGATTAGCGTCGGCTGCGTTCAACTCGCGTCTTCCTCCATTCGCATGCCAGTTGTGTCGCCAAACGTGTGCTGTGCAGTGATTGTGAGCCCCCACAGTGGTCCAGAATGGTCCAGAGTCCAGCGGCACCCCGGAGAAAAGTGAGTGGGATTTTCGCGGAAAGCGCCTTCTCGTATCACGGCGGAATCAAAGAGCGTCGTCGGTAAATATTAGCAAATTTCCGCGAAGAGGGTTCAGGTAGCGGGAGCGCGTCAACGCGTCTTTCTATTTCCGTTATCGAAAGTAAACATCCTTCTCGGTGTTTAATTTACGATTGTGAGGCTGCTTTGGACGGGTCGGATGCAATGATCGGGGCAGGGCCGGAGTCAGGGCGGATTGGGTGGTCCGAGAACGAGAGAGCGGCGCCGGGTTGCTTAGTGGGGTTAGGTTATATCGAGAGGAATCAAGATGTCGGATTTTTTGAGGTTATGTTTGGGTCTACAACTATTACAGTTTGCAACAAAAAAAGGGTTATAACATAGGCCTCAACTTTGTTTTTTGTTTATGGACACCGCGGTTCATCTGCATGTATTGTGTCTGAATAAAGAAAAAAATTAGAAAGCTGTGGTTGTGTCTGTGGGAACCACCAGTTGCACTTATTCAGCTTGTAAAGAATTCATATTTTTTATGTTCAAATTATGCAGATATTTTGACCTTTTTATTTGTAAATATCCAAATTTACTCGGCGTTCTAAATTACAACTTTACAGGTGGGACTGTCACATTTGACAGATTGTTGTTTACACGGCCGATTTGATTTTGAAAGTAAACTCCAGAATTTATTGTTTTAAGTAAGATTGAGCCAACATAGAAAGTTTTATACAAATGGAAAAATTGCATACTAAAAAAAAAACGAATTTTCTCAATATCATAGTTGATAACAATTATTGACATTAGGATATTTGAATATAACGATGATAATAAAAATAAATTAAATGTAATGTCAAGAAATGTACCAATAGTGGAAGGTTTAACAGCTACGTGGACAGTATTTGTAAAGAAAAACCATATTCTCTTTTGCCGCCTTGTTGAAATAAAAATAAAATTTGAACAATATTAACTTAGGCAACACACAATACACTTTTGTTTAAATGTAAATAATTTTTTCCGCTCATAGACCAATATTTTAATAGTTCATGTTTTTGCAATGCTCACCCAGATTGTTATGAAGCGGCAAATTATTTTGTGGTGTCAGTGCCACCTTGATATGACCCTAGTGTAAATTGTTGCTTGATTTGTTCTTCGATTCACCTCATCGATGTTTATTATTTTAGAACTAATCGGCTTAAAACTAAAAATTTTAAATATCCCAAATATTTCCAGTTCATTTTGGTGATTTTGGAAAAATGATACCACTTCTGGAGGTCACAATTAATAAAAGAATTTTGTTTGATAATTTTGAAAGATGTTCTAGAGAAGTCAAAACTTTCATTAAAAAATTTAAATTTTGGCGACGTGGTTTAAAAATCTGCAAAAATTTAGAATATAGATCAGGGCAAATTAACTTGGAGAAACAGTAGATCTTGATGGTCTCAGACCACGATTTTTGAAATATCCACCATCAAAGTCAAATTTTTAAAATTTCATTTTATGACTTTGGAAAAATCGTACAAAATTTCGTCGAAAAGAATTTCTTGACGCCCTAATTAACACAAGAAACTCTTTTGGTAATTTGGGAAGGTGTTCGGAAAAGTCAAAAATTTCATTGAAAAATTGAAAATTTGACAGTCGTCTAAAAATTCATAGATAGATCCGAACGAGGTGACTCGAGAAACATAACACCTTGATGGTCCCACACCACAATTTTTGAAATATTTCGTTTCAAAGTCAAATTTTTGGAATTTTCTTTCGGTTTCAAAGCCAAATTTTTAAAATGCTCCAAAATGAGACTTTTCATTTTGTCGAATTTGGAAAAATGCTAGAAATTTTTGAGGAAATGAAGTCGAAAAGATTTTCTTGACGCCCTAATTAACACAAGAAACTCTTTCGGTAATTTGGGAAGGTGTTTGGGAAAAGTCAAAAATTTCATTGAAAAATTGAAAATTTGGCGAAGTTGTCTAAAAATTTATAGACATTCTAGAATATAGATCAGAACGAGGTGACTCGAGAAACATAACACCTTGATGGTCCCACACCACAATTTTTGAAATATTTCGTTTCAAAGTCAAATTTTTGGAATTTTCTTTCGGTTTCAAAGTCAAATTTTTAAAATGCTCCAAAATGAGACCTTTCATTTTGTCGAATTTGGAAAAATGCTAGAAATTTTCGAGGAAATGAAGTCGAAAAGCAATTCTTGACGCCCTAATTAACACAAGAAACTCTTTTGGTATTTTGGGAAGGTGTTCGGAAAAGTCAAAAATTTCATTGAAAAATTGAAAATTTGACGAAGTTGTCTAAAAATTCATAGACATTCTACAATATAGATCAGAACGAGGTGACTCGAGAAACATAACACCTTTATGGTACCACACCACAATTTTGGAAATATTTCGTTTCAAAGTCAAATTTTTGGAATTTTCTTTCGGTTTTAAAGTCAAATTTTATAATGCTCCAAAATGAGACCCTTGATTTTGTCGACTTTGGAAAATGTTGGAAGTTTTTGAGGAAATAAAGTCGAAAAAAATTTCTTGAAGCCCTAATTAACACAAGAAACTCGTTTGGTAATTTGGGAAGGTGTTCGGGAAAAGTCAAAAATTTCATTGAAAAATTGAAAATTTGACGAAGTTGTCTGAAAATTCATAGACATTCTAGAATATAGATCAGAACGAGGTGGCTCGAGAAACATAACACCTTGATGGTCCCACACCACAATTTTTGAAATATATCGTTTCAAAGTCAAATTTTTGGAATTTTCTTTCGGTTTCAAAGTCAAATTTTTAAAATGCTCCAAAATGAGACCTTTCATTTTGTCGACTTTGGAAAAATGCTAGAAATTTTTGAGGTCCTGAAGTCGACAAGAATTTCTTGAAGCCCTCATTAACACAAGAATTTCTTTTGGTAATTTTGTAAAATGCTGGAGAAAAGTAAAAAAATTCATAAAAGAATGAACTTTCGACCAAGTGTTTAAAAAGCTATAAAAATTCTAGAATATAGATTAGGACGAGTGGTCCCAGATCACAATTTTGAAATATTTCAAAGTCAATTTTTTAAAGTCAAACTTTAACATTCCAAATTGACATTTTTCATTTTGTCAATTTTGGGAAATTCGTAGAAATTTTCAAAGAAATTGAGTTGAAAAGAATTTCTTCAAGCCTCGATTGATATAAGAATCTCTTATAGTAATTTTGGAAAGTATTTTGGAAAAGTCGAAAATTTCATTCAAAAACTGACCTTTTGGTGAAGTGGTCTAAAATCTACACAAATTCTAGAATATAGATCAGGACGAGCTGAGTCGAAAAACAGTCTTGATGGTCCCAGACTAGCATTTTTGGAATATTCGGTTTCAAAAACAAATTTTTGAAAAATTTTGTGTCAACGTCCAATTTTTAAAATATTCTAAAATTACCACATTTCATTTTGTCTGTTTTGATAAAACGGTAGACATTTTCTAAAAAATGAAGTCGAAAAGAATTTCTTGGGGCCTTGATTGAGACAGGAATCTATTTTGGAAATTTTGGAAAATGCTGGAGAAAAGTAAAAAAATTCATAAAAAATTGAATTTTCGACCTAGAAAGCGATAAAAGTTCTACAATAACTAGCTAACTCAAAAAACATAACGTACTTATTGATGGTCCCAGAACACAAATTTTGAAATATTTCAAAGCCAGGTTTTTTTTTAATACTCCCTATCAAAGTCAAACTTTTAAAACATTTCAAATTACTATTTTTCATTTTGTCAATTTTGGGAAAATCGTAGAAATTTTCAAAGAAATTGAGTTGAAAGGAATTTCTTGAGGCCTTGATTGATACAAGAATCTCTTTTAGTAATTTTGGAAAGTATTTTGGAAAAGTCGAAAATTTCATTCAAAAACTGAACTTTTGACGAAGTGGTCTAAAAATTCACAAAATTCTAGAATATAACTCAGGACGAATTGATTCGAAAACGTAACGTCTTACTGGTCCCGAACTAATATTTTAAAAATATCCCAAAAATTAATATACGATTTTGGAAAAATAGTAGGAAGTTTCGAAAAATAAACTACTTAGTGACTGCACACAATATTAAATCTTCTACAAGCTTTCTTTTTTAATTAATGGTTCCTGATATATCGAGCGCAATCTGGTTGAGACAATTTTATCTCGTTAATGTATAGAATTGACTTAATATATCAAAGTGATTTAAAACGACTCAATTATTTCGAGATGTTTTTAAATTTGATAATTCATCATTCCTCACTTTGCTTGAGTGTTATCGGCTAATTATATTATTATTATCAACATCGAATACAGTATCTAAAATGGTTTGTCACCAAGTGCTTACATATCTTGTCGAAATATTAATAATATTGTAGTTTGTGATAATTATTAATGAACACCAACTAGCGGATTCAATTTGGTTCGTCAATAAATTAACATACTTGACGACATTTTTTTCCTTTTCGGATTTCGTATTTCACGTAGTAACGTAACACAAGACCAATTCTGAATGAGACCATAGCGATTGTAACCACACGAATGCTAAAAATACTAAACCACATTTATAACCACATATTTATTTATTACTACGTATAAAAACGTTGTCATAAAAATAAGATCTCCACATTTTTCGGGCTAAACATTATGCATCTGTTTCAGTTTAACTTGGGGTGACGAGATCGACTGAACTTTGCTCTTTCTTGTGATGTATCATCTAAATCTAAAATAAACGCTTTATGAACAGTGACAAGTAAAATGAAAAAGTAAGCAATAGTGGCTTTTTCATAAAACAAATTCGAACAAATGCCGACTTTTCGGTTTTGTGGATGAATTATGATTATTGGCAATTAATGTGTCAATGTGTCGATTCCATTCTAGTCCCGAGAATCTGCTGACTTTTTAAATAGATCGATCGCCGAACCCAAAATAGCCGTGCCCCGTATATACCGCCGCCCGCATAACCGCTCTTTCATACCCAATATACTTTTTCCAGTACAGTCGTGATCGTTGGGGCCCTCGCCCCCCGG